CCTAAACCTAAAACTACCCTTCACCTCTGGACATTTCTCTCTTGTCTCAGAGAAGCCAAGGGAGGACCTAGCTCCCATGGAGGGCCCAGAACCCAGCGGGGCCTACCTTCCCCAGGAAGAATGCTCCAATCTCTCCCTAACCCCTAATCCGTGTCCTAAACTCCAAGGGAGCCCACACTCCGGGTTCCTGCAAAGAGCCCTAAGACCAGGACATCACAGGCACCAAGATATCCGCGAGAAGCCTTGGATCCGGTCAGAGAAGTCATACTATCCCCCACTTTCCACAGAAAACCGAGAACCCAGGGTAACGCTCTATCCCTTTATTTTTGCCCCGAACCCTGAGGATCCCACTCTCCCCATATTCCACATATCCCTCATTCCAAGGGAACCCAGGCCCCCAGCTTCCTTAAAAAGAGTTTTAATTTGAGGGCCGGTGGTCACCAGATCCACAAAAAAAAGCTGGCCCCCTGACAGAGCCTGCATCCCTTCCAACTCTCAGAGAACCGCCCAAACCGCCTGCTCCTCGGAGCCTTCTGTCTCCGGTCCCCCAATTCCCGAAGCTCCACAACCTCCTCGAGGAGCGTTGTGCTCCCCCCCGCCAATTCTCCTGCTAAGGAGCGGGAACCCACGGGAGTCCACTCAGCCCGAAACCCCCGAGGCTGCCAGCTCCCCTCAGGCGTCTTGGGCCGGGCTTCCGAGATAACGGCGGGACAGGACGGGGAGGCCCTTCCTTACCCGCCTGCGCGGCCATGGTCCCGGGGAGGTGGCGGGGTGGCGGGGACCGCAGCAGCTCCTCTCAGCTCCCGCTGCCAGCCGCCTCAGGCGCGAGAGGACCTCAGCCCCGGGCGCAAGCGGGATGCACCGCCTACGGCGCCCGGGGAGGACCAAATCGCACCTGGCACCGGGGCCCGCCCGCCGACGCCCCGCCCCCGGGCCAGGCCCCGCCCCCGGGCCAGGCCCCGCCCCCGGGCCAGGCCCCGCCCCCGGGCCAGGCCCCGCCCCTTGGCTCGGGCTCTGTAGGGGCCCTGGCGCCTCCTACTGCGAACGGCGCGGAGCTGGTAAAGGTGGTTGTGTGCAGCCGTGAGGTGGCTTGTCAGGAGAGTCCTCGGGACAACCTGGGGGTCTCAACAGAGGACCCTCAGCCCATTTTACAGATGCGGGCAGCTGAGGACCCGAGGGAACAAGTTTGACTACCTCGAAATGGCTCAGCTCATTAGAAGCAGAAGTGAGATGGGAACCCAGGTCTCCTAACTCCCAGGCAAAAGCTCTTTCCAGTAGAGTGTTTGGGATCAAGAATATGAATATGAAGGGGTGCCTGACTGGCTCAGTCAGTAGAGCATGTGACTCTTGATCTCAGGGTTGTAAATTCGTTGGGTGTAGAGACTGCTTAAAAATAAAAATCTTAAAAAATAAATGAATATGGAGACACTACCCCACAAAACTTTGGGGATTGAGGGTGGACTTTTCTTAGAAGCTTCCAGCTCAGAGAAGCCACTTATCTGCACCACTGAGTAAGCTGGCACTCAGTAGATAATCTCTAGGTCAAAGATGGTATGAAGGTGGTGCAACCACATTCCAGAGGCAGATCCTTCTTGAAGCCAAATAGGTATATAAATGAATCCCAGCACACCAGATCTTCCAATTTTTCAAGACAAGCCAAAACTCCAGGTATTTAGGTGAATTTTCCTACTTTTTAAATGTTGGTAACATTCGGAAATTTTAAAAATGCCATGTAGACCAAAGGAAACACTTGTGGAGTGAGTTTGCCCTGCTGGCTCCTCTTTGTGGAGGAGAAAGCACTGGACAAGGAATTAGAACAGCTGACTGGCTCCTGGCAGCTGTTAGTTGGCTGAGGGGCCTTGAAAACCACTTCCCTTCACTAGGCTTGGGAGGGAACTGGGGCCCTCCACGTGACAAAGGGTGGGCTACATCAGCTGGACCTGCGGTCCCTCCCGTTTGATTCTCTGGTGCTGGGTATTTGGCAACTGTCATTTCCTTAGACTGGATTTAGGTCATGGGAAAAGTGTCCAAATGACCAGGAAGAGGCAGGGATGGGGCCCAAGGAAATGGATCATGATGCCCCCACCAAGGACAAAGTTCAATCCTGCTGCATCTGGTTCCAGTAAGCAAAGGTGTGCACAATTCTTTCTTCCGGCCCTCTGTAATCCAAACCGGATGCAGGTCAGTTGGTTCTCCTCTGGTTGTGTCAGGTGGCTCCTGAAGTCCTGAGTGTGAAGAAAGTGCTGAGAGGGTGGGGGAGGGGATGTGCCCGACTTCCTTTAATTCCTGGGAACCCTCCAGTGGTTGGTTTTACAGTTTGAGGAAATCTCTGGTCTGATTATAGTAACCACAGGATTGTGTGTTGAATTAAAGTGACAGGGATCCAGGGAACTCTGACAAGCCACCTTGTGGCTAGCAAAAAGGAAGCAGGGATTTTATTCACCCTGCACATGCAAAGAAGTTATGCTGTATTTTCCCAGGTTCATGGGCACTGGCAGCCTTGGAACCAAGACCCCTGTTGGTCTTCCCTTTCCTCTGCCCCACAGCAAGGCACCCAGGTCTGTCTCTTCTCCGTCTTCTCTCTCATTCCACTTCCTTTCCACCTCCAGCCTCCTGGTGTTCACTAGCAGTGAGTGGGGGGATAACCAACTCCCCCAAGTTCCCTCCAGAGGGGAAGTTTAGGTATTTCTTGAGAAATACAAATTGAAATGTAAAGAAAGAAAATAGCAATCTACAGAAATGGTATAACGAAGAGATATTATTCCAATATAGATCCAAAGAATAGTGTAAGATCACTTGTGAATGCGAGGGGGACTTCTGGAGGACAGAAAAGTCCTGGGTAAGGAGAAGATGTGGGTTTCTAGTGCCCAAGTCACCTGTTCACGGTTTGATTACCTGACCATAATTTGGTCAGTCTCTGAGGCCAGATCCTGCTGACTGACTCACAATCAACTCTTTGGACCTATAGGAATGAGAACCTGGACATTGAAAACCACCTTAAGGTTCAGACTCTGCCTCTCAAAAATCTTCAACAGTTCCTTGTTGCCAACAAAATAATAAAGGCCAAACCAGGCCCTCATGAGCGAACTACATCTCATTTTGCAGCCTTCTCTCTCTACTCCCTTCACTCCAGGACTCTTTTTCCTGAATACATTCTGCCCTTGTACCACTCTGCCATTCCTATAACCCCTCCATGTTCTCTGTAATTTTGTTGTGCTATTCTACCCAGAAATGCACTCGTTTCTTTAACACATCATTTTCAATCATATCGTTTTGCAAACCCTGTAAATTAATTGAAATCTGCACTGATAGGATAGCCATTAGCCACATGTGGCTATTTAAGTTAAAATGAAACAGAACTGAAAATTAAGTTCCTCAGTCCAGGGGCCATGTTTCATGTGCTTGCTAGCTACATGTGCCTAGTGGTTACTATGTTGTAGAGTGCAGATAGAGAACATCTCCATCATGACAGAAAATTCTGTTGGATGGTGCTGTTTTAGACAATGATTAGTAAGGGCTGTTAACATCACAAAGAGGGACTACCAGGCATTATGTACCTCCTGAAATGATGCAACAAGAAGTATACACTACCATTTATGACATAGTTATACCAAAAAACCAAGCCTGAATCTGATCACGCTTCTGGATCTAACAACCAATTTACGGGAAATACAAGAGTAGGAGGAGCTTATTAACACCACAGTGATGCATACAGCAAAACTGAAGCTGTGGGAAACTCAACAGGACAAATGAACTGGTTTCTTTAACAGATAAAGTGCAAGAGAAAGAAAAGAGGAACCTATGGATGTAACATAGACTTAAGAGAAATCCAATAGCAAGGTATGGATCTGATTTGGATCTCAGAGCAAGCAAACTGAACAAAAAAGTTGAGAGAACTAGGAAGATTTGAGCAATGATTGGATATATGATGACATTAAGGAATTATTCATTTTTTAAGGTACATTAAATACCATTTGGCTATGTTTTAAAAAATCCTTACCATTGAGATGCATATTTAAAATACTTAATAGAGGGGAGCCAGGGTGGCTCAGTCGTTAAGGCTTTGCCTTCAGCTAGGTCATGATCCCAGGGTCCTGGGATCGGGCCCCGCATTGGGCTCCCTGCTCCTCGGGAAGCCTGCTTCTCCCTCTCCCACTCCCCCTGCTTGTGTTCCCTCTCTCGCTGTGTCTCTGTCAAAAAAATAAAATCTTAAAAAAAAAATACTTAATAGATGGTACGGGGCTAGGATTTCCTTCTAAATAGTCCAGGCAGGAGAGAGGAAGCAGTGTGAGGGTGGGGATGAAACAGGATTGGACACAAGTTGATTATTGGGGTTGGGTCATTAGTACATAGAGGCTTTACTGTCCTATTCTACTTCAGTGTATGTTTTGTTTTCCATTCCTTATTGGGCTCAGTTCTGGGAAATCCCTCACCTTTGCATTTCCTACCAAATCTTGGTGCTATTCAACTTGATAACTCCTAGGTCAAAGTGGAAGAGAGGGAGAAAAGAGACCTTTTCAGAGGGATGACCTGTAGCTCTGGTGTGCTGGGGAGCCTGAGGCTGGGCAAGGTTTGTAACCTCACTATCTTCTATCTCATACTGTGCTACTGAGGAACCCCTGCTCCAGGTAGAGGGCTTGGCCGGGGGCCCACCTGCCCGACTGCAGAACATGTGAAGAAATGCACACACTGAATAACGTGTCATTGTCCTCAAGGTTCTGACTGTCCACAAGCTAAGCTCCATCTTGGTTGCCTGCAAGCTTAGGGATTCCATACACTTTGTCAGGACCAGGGCTGTCAGATGGGTCACACCTTGGGCAGGGCTGTGTATGAAGCGCTTCTCATCTCTAATTATCAATGGCTGCCTGAAGACTTTGCTCCTCGATGTGACATTCCCATGTATGCAGAGGTGTTTCCCAGAGGCCAGATCAGTGTGACTACTCCCCGACCCATTCATCCCCTGCCCCACCCCCTTACACAGACAAGTCCACAACTCACAGTAATGTAAAACCATTTGTTTAATTCTAAATCAAATCACTTTCACAACAGTGAAAATTAGTGACTGGTCAAGGTGTGCCACTGTACATGGTGTCATTTTCTGACTGTGGGTGGGACCTGGTCCTAATCCGCAAAGGTGGCAGGAGTGGGTGGAGGCCAAGAACATAGACAACACACAAAAGAAAGGAAAACTGCCTTGGCAGAGGGGCAAGGTGGTGAACCTGCAGAGGGGTGGTGGGAAGGGGGTTTCCTGTTGGGGCTGGGCCAGCAGTCCCAAGTTGGCTCTCCTGCCCCAGCTCCCAGTAGAGGGTGAGTGGGGACCTAGAAGGTTCAAAATCAAAGGGCACATGACCAGCCTGGCTCTTACAGGTTCCTGGGATGCCCTTGCTGGTGGAGTTCTCCTGGGCTTACTACTTTGTTAGAGAGTCCAAGTGATTGGTCTTCCTATCCCACAACCCTTTTTTAACCTTTCTTCTGGAAACCCATTTCTGTTGGGCCCATCTAACTGTCCTCTCTCTCACCACTAGGTGGGACTACTACACTGAGCGATCCCACCAATTCACTTATGCTGAGAATTCAGACAGCTCCCCCCCCGCCCCCCACTCCACTTCCCCAACTTTGGGGACTTCCAGGAGGTGATAAAAAGAGCACTCTTGAGTGGGTGTCCCAAGAATGTTTAAAATCCATCAGGGACCCAAAAAGTTGGTGGCTTAGTCCTACCAAATGGATTTGGCAAACAAAACCACCTATTCAATACTTACATTTTGTCTGATTAAACACTGAACTCTGGCATTGACAGGCACAGAGGGGAAGGGGTGGGGCCTGTGGAGAGGAGAGGAGGAAGACTTCCCTCATCTTCCTCAAGGTCTTGGTTTCCACAGGCTATGCAGAGCCACATCTGGAAAAAAGCACTAGGTGGGGCTTTCTACCACTTGTTGGCTATGGCTGGGGGTGAGCCAGGAGCAGTGCGGACTGGTAGTGACAGAGAGGCCCCCAGAGGAAGTCCATCTCCTTCGATCCCTGGAATCTGCTGGAAGGGGCTGGATTTCTAGGAAGAGGCCTGACCAGCACAGTGAGAACCATTCCACAAGTGAACTGTCCTGCTGCCTGGAATCACTCCCTTAATCAGATTCTGAGGAAAAAGTCTGTGAAGTGGAAACACAAGTCAAGGGCTTAAGAAGATGATTTCCCCTGGAAATTTCCTGGGGAAGACCACACCATATCAACATGATGAGGGTCTCTAGGCCCTGCTGCCTGGCTTTAAAAATCATCAAGAGTTGCTTGCTCTGCAGTTTCATGCTTCTCTCTGGTTTTAGCATAGATGTAAGTTTTCAGGGGTATCCACCCAAGCCACACCAAAACCAGGGTCACATGTGGGTCTCCCCACTCCTGCCTCTTCATAAAGGACAATTTGGCTTCTGGGGAAGATGGTCTTCAACATGCAGCTGAGCTGACATGACAAGGCGGCCAGTTTCCATTGGGTGGGTCTGAGAGAATGCACCCAGAGCTTTTGTAGCCTTGGGGACAGGGCTGCTTGTTCAGTTGTTCCTGCATCAGAGCTCCAAATCCCACCAGAGCCCCACTGGCAGGTCTTTCCTAATGAGTAGTAGTCAGTTCTAGCTTCAGCAGTAGTCTCCACTATGCGTCCTCTGGCAGATGTGCCTATATTTGGGGAGGAAAGATGATGGGAAATCTGTGACTGAAGCCACATGTCTCTGGGGATAATCTACTCCAGGAAACCAGGAGGTCATTCAAGCCACTCTCTGGAGCCAAAGAGACTGAGCACGTCCCAGAGCCAGTAAAAGATCTTTGGATCTCTGGTGAATTCATGAAGTGACTCCAGCTTTAGCTGCTGCAATTATGATCTTTAGAGGACAGCAATTTCTTGCATTTCTGCTGAGGAGGAGGAGGAGATAGGGCAGAACAGCACTGGGATAGAGAGGGGGAAACCTCTCTATGAGGAGTCCACTGATTTTGGAGGCCAATCACCAAGGGGTATTTAAAGAGATGAAAAAAAGTTTCTATTCGGTTCATCCCTTTGTTTTTATAATATTAAACTCAGGTGAAATTGTACTGACAGTTTCTCTCTTCCTGCCTCTTTCTTGTGCAGAGTCAGGACTTGCTGAGCTGGCTGGGAACAGGATTTCATGGTGTAACTCATGAGAGATGACTCAATGCCAAGGACTGAGTAGTAGTTATAAGCAGGGTGTTTACAGCAGTGGCCATACTCCAGAGTCCTTGACAACTGGTCCTGAGTCCTTAAGCTCTGATGGAGAAGCAAAACTCCTTGATGTGTTACTGACCCCACGATTCCAGGGATCAGGATTAGCCAGGAAGCCAAACATCAAGAGTGGGTGTGGCATGTCACCAGTCCAGAGGCCCTGCCATGGATATAGGCTGGGAGCCCAGCATTAGGCAATCAGGAGCCAGAACATGATCACTAGGGCCACAAACAGGAAGAGGCGTGACAGGAACTGCTCATCCACGTACTGGGGTGTTCCAGGGACAGCTGGAGAGACAGGAGGGAGAAGAGAGGGTGTCAGAACACTGCAGCTGTGCACACTGCTGCCCATTTGGGCCAGAAGTCGAGAGCACTAGTCTTCATCTCTTTACATCAGAACTCTGCACGCTAAAAAGATTTCCAAACCCCAAATAACATTAGGCAAAACAAAACTGAAATTATGAAGATATGCGGAATAATATAACAATGAGGACAAGGTCTCCAGTTCATCCTAAGACAGTTTGGTCTGCAGGTGTAAATTAAATAGGAAACTCTCTTAGAAGAAATAATAAAAGAAAAGCTGTTGTTAAGCATCTTCTGTGTGCTAAGAGTTCTGTACATACATTACAGCTTGGTGGGTATTAGTATTCCCATTTTGTGTAAGAAGAAATTGAAGCACAGGTATGAAGTGACCTGCCCCAAATCACAAGGTTCACGTGTTAGTGGCAGAGCCGCACAGTCATGCTCTCAGCCTCCCTGCATCCTCCCTTGTGAGTCATGGGAGTCTCTAGATGCTGGCACTTTGAGCTGGGGGATGGGGGGCGTGCAGAGAGCCCCACATAGAGTGCCTTCCTTTTCCAGGGGACAGAAGTAGAGCCCAGACAAGCAAAGTGACTTGTCTCATCCATCACACAGCAAGCTAGGGGCAGAGCTAGGCTTCCACTCGTCCCTGCTTTGAGAAAAGCTACTATGTAGAGCTCCCTGTCCAGACTTGGGGGGAAGGAGAGTAAGAAATCTATATCCAGATGGGCAAATTTTATGGCAAAGGAAAACTGTGATTGTGGCAGGGGGATAAAGTGATCCAGAGTCCAGCCTGGCTGTAGAACTCTTTACCTAAGGAACCCAGGGTGAGCCCTGAAGCAAGAAGAAGGGAAGCAAGCTGCCAAGTGGGTTCTTGGTGCCGCCATACTGTCCTGTCCCTCCTTCGGGGCAGAGCACACCCCGCCCTGTGGGTCTCCTTCCTTTGAGAAAATGCATAAACGAAGGAGAAACCTTTGAGGTGGAGGAGGTAAGGAAGGGTATTCCAAGATCTCTTGGGGCTGTACTATTCCCCAAGTGGGTGCTCTGATGATTCATGCAGGCGGTCAGTCAACAAAGACTTACTGATTGCCTGCAATGTGCCAAGCATCAGGGTAGGGGCTGAGGAAAACTGGGATGACCCAGGAGTAGGTGTCTGTCCCTAAGAGCATAAGCTCCTGGCCAGGAACCACACACTGCTCCCTTATGTACCACACACTGTGCCCAGCACTCATTGGACCATGAGGTTCCAATGAGTGCAAGCAGAGCTCAAATGACCTCAGCACCTCTGCAGACTCCATGGTAAGGATCCTGGCCCAGGTGTCAGATTGGGATAAAGTACAGGGCACCCACCTTGCTGCCCTGATCTACATGGAATGCAGCTGGCCCCTTAAGCTGGCTGGAGAGAGAAAGGTAGTGGCAGGTAACAGACCTAGAAAGGGAGAAAGGATTCCCAAAGGGGTGGGGCTTGGAACCAGCCCCACATGTATCCTGAGGGAAGCTGGACAGAGATGCCAGAGAATAGAAAGGCCCTGAATTCTGGTGGGTTGCCTCTCTCCTCTCTGCCCCTAAATGGTACATGCACAGGATTAGGCTTTCCTCAGCTAGGTATCCTGGGTATCATTTTATTCTTTTTCATTTTATAGGCACAGAGTAGGTCTTGGAAACATACTGAGCATTTTCTAATTTGTAAAATGGAGCTAAATGCACACCCATCCCACAGGCTTGTGGTGAGGATCCCCTGCATTTGTGATGACAAGCACTCTGAACATGCGTAATGTTTAGTTAAGTGGGCAATATACATTATCATGACTACCAGTAAGCTGAAAAGAATTCACATTTTTGAAAAGGCTGATTGACCAAGCAGTGACAGTTATCTGTAATCTGCATACTAATAAATTCTAAGGAGCCTTCAAACAGAATTACCAAGGAAGTAGGGTCTTACCTGGAGGAGGCCGCCCATCATTTATGTTAAATGCTGTGGCAAATATCCCAAAAGGAAATGCCCCAATTCCAAAAGACATCTGGAAGCCACCATCCCCAAATCCAAATCCTTGAAATCCCTGTGTGGAAGAAATGCAGTTCAGAAGAACAAGCATGTTTCTCCTGCACCTGTCAAACATGTCACCTGCAGGTGGCACCTGCCTCTCCTCCCTACCCTCTGCCACCTGTTTCTAAAGGGGAACATCTTTTCCTCCCATTTATTTATTTATTTATTTATTTTATTTATTTTATTTTTTTTAAGATTTTATTTATTTATTCATGAGAGACAGAGAGAGAGAGAGAGAGAGAGAGGCAGAGGGAGAAGCAGCCTCCCAAGGAGCAGGGAGCCCGATGTGGGGCTCGATCCCAGGACCCTGGGATCATGACCTGAGCCGAAGGCAGACGCTTAACCATCTGAGCCACCCAGGCGCCCCTTTTCCTCCCATTTAGACTGCAAGGCCTGGTGGTCCCTCTGCCCTTCTGGCTTGCAAGGGGTTCCAGCTAAGGAGTTGTGAATGCCAGAAAGGACTGGCTCTGGCCCAAGTAAAACAATCTGCTGATGCAAGTCAGGCTTCTTAGAGCACCAGGTTTTTCCCCAGAATTCCACCCTACATGCTTTTCTACATGCTTTATAACAGCAAAATTGGCAACCACCCCCACACCTAATTACAAGGGAACACTGGAACAAGCTGCACATTATTGGTAATAGCAAAAAAGTGGAACCCTAATTAACCAACAATTGAGGTCATGATCAAAATCTTGATAAACACTCTCTAAAGACCATGATGCTGACTATGCAGCAACACAGAAAAACTCCTATGACCAAGCTACCAGACAAAACTGAACACTATGTTCACAAGTACATGCCAACATGCAGGTATGGAAACAAGATATAAACAGATAAGTATTTTCCCTCAAAGTTTTAATATTTCTACAAAGAATTTAAAAAACATAAAACACTAATTTTTTTCTGATTATTTTTGTATATATACTTGTTATAAGAAACTTACACATTAGAGGAATAATTGACACAGAAAGTCAGAGGTCTCCTTATTCACCATTTCATGGCCATGCTCTCCCCAATAACCACTATCAATAGTTTGGTGTATCATCCCCATAACATGTTCTATACTGTGTCATCTTTCATATGAAAAGACTTAGCAGGAACTGTAACACTGTGAATAAGTAACCCATTTTCTATCTTGACCAAAGTTGCACAGAGTAGAAGGGTAGAGTTTAGATTAGAAACTAGGTCAATATGATCTGAAAACGCATGCTCTTTAAGATTTTATTTATTTATTCATGAGAGAGAGAGAGAGAAGCAGAGGGAGAAGCAGGCTCCCAAGGAGCAGGGAGCCCGATGCGGGACTCGATCCCAGGACTCTGGGATCATGACCTGAGCTGAAGGCAGACGCTTAACCATCTGAGCCACCCAGGCGCCCTGAAAATGCATGCTCTTAATTATTGTGCACATCTTACAAAATTTTTCTCTCCTCCCCCACATCCCTAGGTAGATCTTTAGAACAAATGATTAAAAAATAAGAAGAAAATGTATTGGGTCAACTGCTCTCCACAAAGAGCTGATTGGCTTTCATTTGTGAGTCTTTTGCAAGTGATGGAAGCGGCTGTTCCCTATCCCATATCAAGCAGCCTGGCATCCAGCTCCAAAGGTCTTGCTAGGCGGCACTATCCATAAAGCCCAACAGCAGATATAACAAGAAGAAAAGGCTACAGAGAAGAAAAACCACCAGTTTTCCATTTTCTCAGTGCAGAGATGCCTCCTACTCAAACCCAGCATGGTTGAGTTTGAGGGCTCCTGGGACCGAGGCTGTCTTACCCAGGAAGGTGCAACTGTTTCATCAGGAACTACCACTTCATTGAGTGCAATCCCAAGGATGGACCCTCTGGACTCCCTTTTAGCAACCTCTACACAATTCCACAAGTCCTCACATTTGCTGGGTTTATGTTCCTGGGGCAATGTAGGCAAAAAGCATCACTGGGGGCTACAGGCACTTGTATATGCTAGAGCTACACACAAGAATCATTAAGGCCAGGGCCTCTGGCTTCCTGAGGTTAGGAGCCGATGCTCTCTGTTGAGAAACAGAGCCTGAGAAAGTTAAAGTGATGTCACCTGGTAGTCAAGGGGGTAGAGTTTAGATTAAAAACTAGGTCAATATGATCCAAAAACCCATGCTCTTAATTCTTGTGGGGAAATGAAAAACTCTTGTGACCAAATTATCAGATAAAACTGAACACTATGGTCACAAGTATGCTCAGGACAATATGTAGAGATGTGGACAAGAAATAGGTATTTCCCCTCAAAATTTTTAATATTTTACTCTGGAGAAATGAAAATATACTCATTTGGGGATTCTGGTAGTGTGGATAAATATTTCGCTTTTACAATTTCTTCAGTATTTTAACAAGAAAAAAAATTTTAACACTAACATCTGATTTAAATGAGCAAATTTTTTGAGCTAGTGACTTTTCCTAAGAATTTATCCTAGTAAAATAACCATGAACCTGCTCAAAAATGTATCTATAAGTTCACCAGGGTATTTTTAAAATAAAAAAAAGGACACAGTTAAATGTCCAACAAAGGATCAAATAATGTTAAGCTCATACAACTGAACACTAAACAGCCTTTAAATAAAATATTACTGGCATATAAAATCTCAAGATATGTCATTAAAAGTCTCCCTCTCTCTGATATAAACTTCATAAGGGCAGGAATCTTTGCTATGTTCACTGATCTATCACCAGTGCCTAGAATAATGCCCAGCATACCGAAAGCAAATATAGAATGAATGAAATTTTAAAAAAGAGCTACAAAACAGGAGCCAAGTACTGTAAAAAAATAAACAAAAATATATGTATACACAATACATCTATAAAATACATGCACATAAATAGATCTATAAAATTTATATATGTGTGTATATATAATTATAGAACAATAGAAAAGAAAATAGACCAAAATATTTCCAGTAGTTATCTCTGGATGGTGTGATTATAAGTGATTTTTTTTGCCCTCTTTTCCTTTGTGTATTTCACAATTTTTCCTTTACTTTTATAATCAGGGAGAAAAAGTGTAGGGCCAAGATGGAAACTTTTAAAGCCATCAGCTCATTTCTAGAAGCTTCTCCTAGGATGTTCCTCACCCCTCTGTTCTCTGGCTCTGGCCTCTGTCCTTGAGGACGGGGAGGGGTCTTCTCTCTGAAACAGAAACACCGTAAAATAAATAATTATAAAATGCTTTCAGCTATTCCGAGTGTGGTGGGAGCTCTTCACCAACAGGGTCAGGCCCACCTTGCCCAGCACATGAAGTTACACCAAATTAAACCAAATCTTAATCTTCATTCTACTGCAACTATATAGAAAAACAGGGAGAAAAATCTGCTTATTCTAAAATGTTCATCATGTTGCACTACAGCCCACTCCTCTCACAGGAGCCTGGCCCAGACTGGTTATGAATGCTAGCCAGACACCCTCCCTGGACCTGTGTAATATGGGGGTCACCAATGTTAAAAATCCCAAATCCAAACTGAAACAGGAATGGCCTGTCAGGATAGAGGGCTGAGATTCAGGATCTCTCTGTTCTGCCCCTATTAACTTCAGCTTTACCTCCCACTATCCCTTGGTAAGTACTCTACACTTTGCTTTTTGCCTCTTGGTCTTAGCCCCTTCTATCACTCATCCCCAAAATACTGGACTGAGGGCTTGTTAGCCATTACACACTGGCAGGACACTACCAATACTAAGACTGTGATGGACCCTACTCTTGAGGTGTTTATTCTTTAAAGGGGCTACAGCCAATCACAATACAGCATGGGAAGGGACTTCTTGAATAACAGTATCAACTACAGGGTGGAAGCAAGGGTGAGAGAAACTAATGTGGGGAAGAAGGGCCACTTCAAGGAGGAGGTAACTACAGCGCTGCTCATTAAAGATGGACAGAAATTAGTGGAGGAGGAGGGTGTGGAGTAGGACTGCAGAGGGCAGAAGAGGCAGGGGGAAAACAAATACAAAGGCTCATGAATGTGAAAGGGTAAGTTCCTTTAAGAGAAGTCCAGTATGTATGGATACAAGGTATGCTGGGGTGGGGTCAGAGAAGGTATGAGACACTGCTGGGAGAGTCTATGGGTGTGTGAGCGTGTGCATGTGTGTGACCAGACTATGAAGGGCTTTCAGAACCTGTGTTTGTAGAATGACAGACCCATCCACACCTCAAACTCCACAAAGCCTCCCAGACCTCCTGTCCCCTCTTCCCTCTGTACTTTATATATCACTGCTGCAGCAACTCCCCTCCATGCAGAGTCTCCTGCTAGACAACCTGCTTCCCAAGTTGCTCCTTCATAGCACTTTGCATACTTAAAATTATGATATCTTGTGCACTGCCTAGCACATTGCCTGCTCGCTGGCAGACACTCAGTGGATATACGTATTACAGACTGGTGAGGAGCAACTTGGCTTTCCTCCCTTCCTGACCGATTCCCATCTGGATCCCAATTGCCTCAAAAATGAGGGTCTATAAGCACTAAGTAAAAGGTGGAGTGAGAAGGTGCTGAATGGAAGTGAATTCATGTCCAAAGGGAGGAGTGAGTGTGAGAGGTGCCCCAAGGCCTCACCTGGGGTCCTGCTGCCCAGTGCTGCCCCTGCCATAGAGCGGGATGACCTTATCTCGGCTGATGCCGGCTTTGCAAACTGGACACACTTGTCTGTTAGGTCTGGTCTCCAGCCACTGCAAACAGGAGAAAAAAATGCGTGAATGGTGCAAGCCCACTACAGAGCAGTCATAGCCAGCAGAACAACATGGACCAGAGGCCTCAAATTGGAAACACCAGCACGAGCAGGGAACACTTCAAGGAACCCAACTCTCTGATTCCTGTTCCTGGCACTCAATAAATATTTACTAGTGGTGAAATCAAAATTGCTTTTAAACACCTCATAATTAAACAGGATTCCTCATGCTTCATTACTTCTAGGGGCTCCCTGCAACACAGCAGGAAGGAACTGCAAGCCTGGAGCTATGTCAAGGGGTCTGACAGACCCAGCCTCAGTTTAGGTTGTGGGTGCTGGTATAATGAACTTTAAATCTCTGCCTTCCCCAACAGATCAACTGTATTACCCTGACAGCCAAATTTTGCTTTCGGTGACTTCTCATTTTTACAGCGTTTCCTCAACAACTTTGTATCCCAGACATCAGCATCTGGACATAACCTCACCATTTTCTGGTGATCTACTATGTGCTAAAAGATAGGTTTTGCTTATTACCTAAATTTGCTTAGTGTTTTTTATGTACTTTCATTGATTTTCGCATTCAACTGTTTCTTTTGATATTAAAAACACCAGAATTCTGTTTTGGGCTTCCCAAGCTCTTTCACTGGTTAAAAACATTCTGCTTAACTTTCCTCTAAAATAAAATAAAAATGATAAAAACATGTTATCTGCAGTGTCTTAGAATAATTTAATTCATATATATTTTCTCAACATTTATCTTAGAACATTAATTGCATCTTTAGACCAAATAATATAAAGTTTATTATATAAATGTGAATCTAGGATTTCAGGGCCAAGGAGAAAGCAGCATTTAATGATTTTATATCCCACTTCCTTTATCCTACTGTTGAAAGCTTCAAAACTTATGTGCTCTTTAAAAATTTCCAGCAGATAAATTTATAAATTTACTAGGTTCTCCTAGAGTCAGAATGAACAGCCCTTAACATAGTGGGAACCCCTCTTATTTCCCTTGCTTCTTTCTCCCACCTAGATTCTGAGGCTCTAGATCTCTGGAACTTCTGTCCTCCCCCTACATTCCTAAGCCACCTACTAGTGTGGGGCTCTTTTGCTAAAAACCGTGGAGACAGTCAGCTCACAGTGATTATTCACAGCCAGTTGTGGATGCCAGGCCCTGCTGTCTCACTAAGCACGTGCCTGGGTCTTGGTGAATACTTAACTGACTGGTTTTCATAATAATCTAAAGCTGGGAAAACAGACTTTTGCCCTCTCACAAAAGCTCTCTGTTGAGACCAAAAAAACTTCTCCCTTCCTAACATTTTCAAGACCTTTATGGGTAGGGGGAATAGTTGATATGCTAGGAGGTTTTTTTGTAAAGGCAGAATCTCAAAAGTAAAAACTTAACATACTATCAAATCCTATTCTACAGATGGGAAACTGTGAGCCAGAGAGGTGGTGGCCTGTTAAGGCCACAAAGACCATCAGTAACAGAGTGAGGACCATCCCAGGTACTACATGGACCCCTTATTTTCAGCAAGTACCTGTCAGTGGGCAGGTGTATAAAGCCGGTTGGCGGGGGGAGGGTGGTAAAACAAGCAAATGAGCCCACAAACAGGGGAGATTGCAGCTTCTGACAGTAGTCTCCTGAGACTAGGGGTGTCTTGTGCAACCATAGCTGATGAAAGACAAAGTAAAATGAAATGCATCTTACCTGATGTAAACACGGCCAACTGCCAGAGTCCCCAGGGCAACCAGTCATCAAGGAGAAAGAGAATGTGGGTAAAGGAAGAAAAATACTTTCATTAGCAGAACACTGAGGGTGGGAGCAGAAAAATGGGAACACAGGGTGGAACTCTGGAGCCCTGCAACCCCACTGAGTGTCTGCGGGGAATCACTAGTATCAGAAATTAGAAAAGACTGGGCTAAAATCACAGGAAAAATTAGGCAATAGAGACAAGACCCCAGTCTCTACCCTGGGATCTTACTTGTAAAGGACTCCCAGGTCCCAGACCCAGCTTCTCTACAAGTCAACCTTTGAGGGATTGTGGCCTCTGAAGGAATCCAATATAGGCTAAAGACCTTCTATGCAGAAAAATTCATGGGGGCATTCTCATACACATATGCACACACACATACACATACTATTTCAGACTCCATTTCAGTGGGTTCATAACCTCCTAAGGCTCACAATGTGTGACTCTATATCTGGTTTAAGAAAAATCTTCAGGCTGTCCTCAACTTTTGAGTGCTCTGCTGGCAGGAAGTAGTTTAAAAGGTCAAGTTTAGTATAAAAAAACATCTTTAAGTAATGAAAAGGATGGAGATGCTGCTCGGCAGAAAGGGCTACCTTCACAGCTTAACGAAGTTGTACTACAATGAATTGCTGCTCAGTCCCTCATTTTTCAAATGAGGAAACCAAACTCAGAAACAAGAAACAACTAGCCTGTGGCACCAGGACTAAAAAGTAAGTCTCCTGACTTCCAGTTTATTGTCCCTTCTTTCTATCACCCAGCATTGGGTGCAAAAAATGACATTTACAGAATTGAAGGAAAAGTTACTCTAACTTTAAATTTTTCACTTTTACTCTCTTGATTTATTCATCCAACTAACAGATATCCACTGCACACCTCCTGTGTGCCAGGACAGTGGAAAATGTGGACATGGTTTCTGTCCCTCATAAAACATGACTCCTCTGAGTAAAATTTGTTGGACTCAGAGGCTAATCCCTTTCTCAGTTCCTGAACCACAGTTTAGCCCCACCATCCAGACATGCAATCTCCCTGGATGTAACAGACACACCTGACATTTGACTCCTACATTAACCTTGCAATGTCATTCCAAACTGAGCCCAACATACCCCAAATCACAGATCTCCACTGGTAACCTCCCTTGAAGGCTGTGGGGGGAGAAGTGGAGGTGACTTCCTTTAGGAGAAAGTTCAAAATTATAACAAAGATGGTGATCACTTCAATTTATTAAGCAACTATTGTGTGCCAGGCCATGGTTGACTAGCTTTTCATTTGTTAATGTCAGTGGCGGGTCATATTAACCTATGACGAAGTGTAATTATCTCCCTTGTACAGATGAGGAAACTCAGGTACAGAGAAGCTTGCAGATTTGCCCAGGGACAAACCACTCTGATAGGAAGCATCTGTTTCATTTTATAGTCTGTGTTTTTATTAATGGTACCTTGATTTATTCTTAATTTTGTCACTTGTTTCAGGTCCTGGTTTTATAATGCCCCAGAGAATCTCCAATTTCTAGAAAACAACAGTTTCTGCGTAAAACTTAATGATTAGGGCAAGAGCTGCCAGAACAAAATCTGCCCGACCAGGGACGCCTGGGTGGCTCAGTCAGTTTAGCCTCTGCCTTCGGCTCAGGTCATGATCCCAGAGTCCTGGGATCGACTCCTACATTGGGCTCCTTGCTCAGCAAAGAGCCTGCTTCTCCCTCTGCCTGCCTCTGTCTCTCTCTCTCTCTCTGATAAATACATAAAATCTTAAAAGAATATATTTAAAAAAAAAAATCTGCCTGAACAAAATCTGCCCCATCCTATTTATTCAATAAATTTATCTCTTTATCTTAAACTCCCTTAAATACTACTTAAATGACCCCTTCTTCACACCAGTTCCCTGCTCAAAAATATTCCACAGATTTATGTCCTACTCAATCAAATCTGGGTTTGATAATCTGGCCCAACCCTCTCTTAACCAGTCTTGTTCCCTAACACTTCCCAGCCCCCCATCCAGGGCGCTATCTGAGGTTCACAGCAGTCTCAGGGTCTCAGTCTCATATCCAAGAGCGCATATGTCTATCCCTAGAAAATGCCTGCTTTGTGGGGCACATACTCTTTGCCTTATCTGCCATTCTTACCCCTCCACTTAGCCCAATTCACCCTTCAAGGTCCAGCTCAAAATCAAGGGAGAATAAAATCTCAACATTTACCCAGAACCTCAGATCCAGGAGGGACTTCTATAATGATGGAGGCCAGAATGAAACTAACCCTGCCACTTCATTTTGATATACATAAAATAGAGCAACGATTATTAGGATCATTGCTAACACACAGTATTCCGTGTGTGCTATGTGCTCTTCTAAGCTTTTTATGTATTTTGTGTCATTTGATTGCTCACATACAACCCTGTAAAATGAGACAGAGTGTGTGTAAGCACCTTGCCCAAGGCGATCCAGTAGGGAGGTGGCAGAGTCAGGATTCAGAACAGGAAGTCTGGCTCCACTGTCCTTGCTCAACAGTGTACCACAGTATAACCACTGTACACACTGCCTCTTCATTCAGCACAGCAAGTGGTACATAGCAACTGCTCACTAACTGGTGAGTATTTTCACTTTAGAGGTGGAGGTACAGAGTCCAGAGTGGGGATATGATTTGCCCAAGGCCACTCAGCTCATCAGCAGTAGAACTGGGACAAGAACGCAGGGCTCCTGCTTCTTGGACCTGATTGTATCATGAGACCCAAAGTGGGTGGGAAACCTCCTATTCCAAAGCTGCCCGGGCCACAGGCTTTCTAAACTTGGCAGTGTGTCTTCTGGGGGTGGTGGCAGGGGTACTGACCAGAAGAGGTGGCCACACAGGCTGATGACGGCGTCCTTGGCTGTGTCCAGACAGATGTTGCACTCAAAGGTGCTGTCCTGCCCTCCACTCTCGCCAGCACCATTGCTGCTACCGCTGGGCCCCCCTGCACTGGAGTTCTCAGGGGATGCAGAGGCCGAGGGCCCCTTGCTCGCCATCCTTGGCTGTCAGACTCTGACTGAAGATTCTCCCCAGGAAAATCCTGAAAGGCAGAGAGCCCTTGATTGCCCATTTCTGCAGCCCACTCTCCCCAGCTTCCATGGCAATACCCCCATCTTCTCTCAGCTCCAGAAGTTCAGATTATGACTGAACCCCTACAAAGACTTTGCAGAGGCTGCAGAGGATGATACTCATGGGGCACTACCCAGAGAACAATGACTCAAAAACTTTCATGAACACAGCCTAGAAAGTACCACACAAAACACACTGCACAAATATAGAACATCCTCCATCCAGACAGCTCTCCAAAGGAACTGAGACCTTTTCTCATATGTCTTTACCTTCTCCCAGGAGAACCAATCTAGGTATATGTGCTCAATAAAACTAAATGTTCACAGGCTGTCCTCTAACTTTGGACTGCCTCTATATTGGCAGGTGAAGCTGCTTAGACCAGAAGGCTTTTGTCACTACTGCACATAGAAAACCAGTATTAGTTACCATAAGTGAAAAATAATTACAAATATATGACAGAAAAGCTGTTTATCCTCATACCAAAATCTGGCACATTCATATAATGCTTTGGGTAAAGCTGATCTGGTCCAATCTCTTCAGGAAACTGAAGCCCAAGACCTGTCCTCTAATTGACGAATGTGGAGCTGAGACCGGGACTCATGACATCTAGTCTGTATTCAAACCACTGTACCACCACAGATCAAGTTGGCCACCAAGTGCTGGGAGAAACAGACCGTTGTTCAATATTGCCTCCAAATCAAAGAACCTACCAGGAGCTGAACAAGAGGACAAGACCAACACCAAGGATACCCAGAAATTCTGGGTGCAGATTAAGAATCTGTGAAGAGCTTGGTCTGGCCACCCCCACCATCTTAGAAATTCCAAGCAGGAGATGCTGGCTGGTTATCATAGCCAGAGAACCAGCAGCTTCAATGCTGGCTTCAGTTGAGCCTACAGCTTGCTAGGTGTTTTGAGAAACTCCCTCTCCTCTGTGGACCACAGTTTTCTCATCTGTAAACTAAGGCACTGGACTACATGGTCTCTTAGTTGTCCCCTTCCAGCTCTGAGACTGTGAGGCTCCAGGTCATCTCATCCATCTTTCCAAAGCAGGCGGCCCTACCATAAGTGTGGGACTCACCACTGGAACACCAAAAGACTGCTCTGATTCCAGCTTCCAAAGTTTGAAGACGTTAAGGACCAAAAAGCCAGAAGTCTTCTCAGACCAAGAAGCCTTCCTACACACCACCAACTTAGAACTCTGGACTCACAGGCATCCCTCACCACCACAGCAGCTCAGTGACTTGAGCAGGGAGAGAAGACCGGCTCACTGCCACTTTTTCACTTAGTTACATCATTTTACATAATGTCCCAGAAGGGCAGCTGGCTCCTGGCAGCACCAGTGCCTTACTGGCCTCAGCTCCAAGATGTTCCCCCTGACCCAGTGCTTCTTCCTCTCCACATACAACTGTTCTCTTCTTCTTAGGATGGAGCCTGCTTCTGAGGGCCATGTTATGGCCCTCAAATGTCATTCCAGCTCAAGTACCTGACCTATGTGAGTTTCTTTAGAATATGTTTATCTTTTAAAATTAAGGACTGTGTGGGCACCTGGGTGGCTCAGTCAGTTAAGCGTCTGCCTTCAGCTCAGGTCATGATCCCAGGGTCCCTGGATCAAGTCCTGCATCAGGCTCTCTGCTCAGTGGGAAGTCTACTTCTCCTTCTACCTTTCCCCGCTGCTCGTAATCTCTCTCACTCTCTCTCAAATAAATAAAATCTTTAACATTAAGGACCGTGTGTACAGAAGTAGAAAGACAATCATAAAGTCAGGTTCACCGATCAATCTTAATGATAGTCTCCTGATGTGATGCAATAGGAAGTACATATCACCAACAATGAAGCACTCTTAAAACACAGACTCTAATCATGTCTCCAAAATAAATTACCCATTTACAGAAAATATGGGGCATAGAAGCACATGTTTAACAACTCCAGGAGGCAATCAGCCGATCCAGAATGTGGGATCTTTTACAGGACAAATTATCCAAGTTCTTAAAAAATAAATAGCATAAGTGGGACATGGAGTTCTAAATTGAGACTTGAGACATACCAACCACTGAAAGTGTGTGGATCTCACTGGAACCAGGTTCAAACAAACCACCTGTAAAAAGACATTTGTGAGATGACTGTCAAAAATTAGATTTAGCCTAGGTATTAGTTGATATTGAGGAATTATTGTTAATTTTATTGAGTATAATGGTATCGCATAATTTAAAAAATACTCATCTGCTAGAAATACTTATTTTTTAGAAGATTTTATTTGAGAGAGAGAGAGCACAAGCAGAGGGAAGAGGCAGAGGGAGAGGGAGAAGCAGGCTCCCTACTGAGCAGGGCTGGATCCCAGGACCCCAGGATCATGATCTGAGCCAAAGGCAGACACTTAACCAACTGAGCCACCAGGCGCCCCTAGAAATATATACTTAAATATTTATGAAGGAATGATGCTTGGGATTTGCTTTAAAAACTCCAGGGGGAGAAGTGAAAATGGAGAGAAAAGACTAAGAACAGGGAAGGTGATGGTTGCTGGAGCTGGATGATGAATGAGGGTTTATTCCATTAGCTTATTTTTGTGTGTGCTTGTACATTTCCATAATAAAAGGAATTTTTTAAAAAGGTTAGGTTGCAGAAGAGTATGTGCCTGAACTTATTTGGGTAAAAACAAAATATATAAAAGAACACACACACACACACACACACACAGAAAATGTCTAGAAGGCACACACTAAACTATCAACAATTATTTCTGGGATTAGGGGCTGTGGAACTTCAAATTTTATACTCTTATTCTCTTTTAATGTTTTATGATAAGCAGGTATTACTTTTACAATAACATTTTAAAAAATTGTAAAATGGGGCGCCTGGGTGGCTCAGTTGGTTAAGCGACTGCCTTCGGCTCAGGTCATGATCCTGGAGTCCCTGGATTGAGTCCCGCATTGGGCTCCCTGCTCAGCAGGGAGTCTGCTTCTCCCTCTGACCCTCCCCCCTCTCATGTGCTCTCTCTCATTCTCTCTCTCACAAATAAATAAATAAAATCTTTAAAAAAAAAAATTGTAAAATGCATGTATAATATTACATTTGTTACAATAATGAACTATAAATATTAGAAAATGTCTTTTACAGGGCGCCTGGGTGGCTCAGGTGTTGGGCGTCTGCCTTCAGCTCAGGTCATGATCCCAGGGTCCTGGGATCGAGTCCTACATCGGGCTCCCTGCTCTGCGGAAAGCCTGCTTCTTCCTCTCCCACTCCCCCTGCTTGTGTTCCTGCTCTCGCTATGTCTCTCTCTGTCAAATAAATAAATAAAATCTTAAAAAAAAAAAAAAAATGTATTTTACAATGTGGAAAAACATACCAAACTGTCAATGGTGACTATCTGTATTGGTGGGGACTTAGAGGTAGTGACATATTTTCTAAGTCCTCCCCATTGACAAAACTGACATTTTTACATGTATTAATTTTGAAATCAGACAAAAGAGGAATAGTACATCTTAAAAAAAAAAACACAACTTCCGGGGCGTCTGGGTGGCTCAGTCAGTTAAGCATCTGCCTTCAGCTCAGGTCATGATCCTAGGGTCCTGGAATGGAGCCCCAGGTCTCAACGGGCTCTCTGCTCATCGGGGAGTCTGCTTCTCCCTCTCCCTCTGCTCCTCCCTCTTCTCATGCGCACGCGCACCTGTGCGCACACTCTTCCTCTCAATAAAATCTTAAATAAAATAAAATAAAATAAGTAAAAAAACTTCCCAGCGTTCCGGTTTTCCCCAATCCTGAAAAGCTCAGAGTTCAAGTCCTGACTCCACCACTCTGAGTAGATACCTTGATGGCTACAATCTCTTTTTTCACCTAAAAAGTAAGGGTGTTGTGCCTTCTACAGGACTGCAAAGGTGGCCCTATGAGATAATACAGTGACCCAGAAGGTCCACCAAGGTGAGGGGGCTGCTGCTACTGGGGAGACATACATAGACACCCCTTATCCTGGTTCATTACCCTCTCTACTCCCTGACCCAACAAGGTTCTGCATGGCTCATACTCCTAAGGGATAGAAGGCTTAAGGGGACAGTCAGGATCAAGGCAGGTGTTAGGGTGGGAATGGTCAGAGTACAGTAACAGAACAGCTCAGTTTGCAGACAGCAGCAGGCTTACAGCAGGTTAGGCACTGGGACAGGCCTGCACATCCCAATTCCAAGCAGACCATGTAATTCTCATTCTAATTCTTGGTAGACTGACCACGTGGTCCCTACTCAGGCTCTAAAGCCTCCTCCTAGTAAGCACTCAAATATTTCCTGAGTGAATGGGTGTGGGCATGTGTGACTGGTTTTGGTCAACAGGCCAGCTGCTCACAAACCTCTCTGCAACACATCCTGGGCCCCAGGACCACGCAGCTATCCCTGGAGCCTTCTCTCCTCACCTTCTCCCTACCCTCATGAACAGGAACCTCACCACACCAAGGCAGCATGGCAGAGATGAGCATCATTCCCTGGGGACTGTCTACTGAACACCTGCAGAACAAGAGAATGTGGCTACAGCCTTCTGGGCCCAGCAGGAGTGGGACAATGGTCAGAGGACAGAGGGCCCTGGTTGGCTCAGGAATTGGACAAAATAAAAGGGAAGCAGGCCCTGAGCATGCCTGAGCTGTCATCCTACTAAAACTTTCTCCTGGTCCTGGTAGGGACTATGAACTTCAATCTGACCACATTAGCAGTCTTGTTGTAGCTGGTTCTGAGCCCCTGTCCCTACTCTGACAATTCTTCACTCCTGATCTGAATCTACTTTATGTTTTTCAAGCACATTCACATCTATTACCACTCTGATCCTCACTCCACTTCATAGATGAGGATACAGGCCAGGGAGGTTAGAGGACCTACCCAAGGCCAGGCAATCATGCAGCACCAAATTCAGACTTTCCAACACAACACTGGCACTCTTTTCACTCTTACATATTACCCTCTGACATGTAGCTTTACGACATTAAATACCTGGTCTTTTTTCCCCTCAAGTTTATTGTACAATGCTGTAACTTTTGTGTTCTTTGAAGTGAGTGTGAAGCATGCATTTATGCTTTCAATCAATAGATCTCTAGTACCAACTACATTTAAGGCTTGGGGCTACCAGCTGTGTGTGTGGAGAGAAGTCTCAAAGAGCATGGCCAAGTTGAGGCTCTGGAATCTGGAATAGGAGCTAAGGAAGACACGTGGGTAATTACAAGAATTCTTAACAAGGGGCTCCATCAAACTTGCCTGTTTTTCCTAAACAAGGCACCCTCCCAGAAATCTGGTTCCTAGACCCCCTCAGTGATTTAAATAGGATTTGGATCTGGACAGTGCCCAAGAATCTGTATTTTCAAATAAATGCCCGTATCTTCCACACCAAGTGATTCTTTGATGAAGTTTTGGGAACTCAGCTCTCAAACAGGGAAGAACTCTACCAAAAGCACAAAGCAGTATGACACAGCACAGAGTTTGGGAGGGACAGTGACCTCAGGGTCTGTCCTTCAGAATGCACAACCCCCAGCTCCAGTACACAGAGACTACGAAGAGGTCAGATAAACTTGGGGGATGGGGGACAAGTCTGCGGAGATCTCAGACCAGCCGGCACCTGGTCCATCCAAGACAGAACTGACCATTAAAGAAACAAATTCATACCTAGTTTCAAAAAACATTCCTAAATGAGATGTCCAGGTTGGCACATGTGATGCTGGGACTAAAGCAGATTTGCAATACTTAATGATCCCTTAGGAATGCAGAGCCTGGAAGCTGAAACTGACCCAACATCCTCACTCCTATTACTTTCCCAGAGCTGGCCTGGTCTACCTCACAGGAACTGAGCAAGGAAGAGAACATAAAAGTTGCATATCCCTTCAGGAAACACTGGGGAACTTGACTTCATGAAGAAATCTCTTTGTAGCGTTCTTGTATTCAGATCTCAGGTTCTAGAGAACTGCAGTTTTCAAAATCTGCCTTCTTTCTGCCTTTAAACTCTAAGAATTCCTGGACCAGGGTATGCCGAGGCATCTAAGAATGTTAATCCTAGTGATGACGATTACAAATTTGGGTGACAAATGATTGCCATGATCCCAGAGGATACCCAGCAGAGTTCTTGTTTCTGTGGGCACATGCTTGTTCACATGGAAGCTTTCTGCCAGGAACTGTAGCTTGCCTGAGCCTGTCTGTGCTGTTCATTAGGCTGCTGCTGGACCACGTGTAGGCAGAGATGAGAGGTGCATTCTGAAAACGTCTACATCACACTCACAGAAGGCTGGAGTAGGAAAAAATCTAACTAAGTTGATTGGAACTTGGAACACATAGAAACCAAGCTCTAAAATTTTAGAGTCTAAATGTTGTTTAGGTAGGTCTCTAGGCTAGCTCACAGAAGCTTGGCCCTAAAATATAGGACCATGGGCATGAATGACTTTCCACATCCAAAAGGACAGAGGAAGCCGATTCTAGCCTCTTTTCTTTGGGGCAGCACTGGTCCTTTTTTACGGCATCCTTTAACCTCCCTATCTGTTCAAGCAATCCTTCTCTTATCTTCAAAGATTTATTTTTTTAAGAATTTTTATTTGAGATAGAGAGAGAAAGCACAAGCTACAGGGAGGAGCAGAGGGAGAGGGAAAAGCAAGCTCCCTGCTGAGCGGGGAGCCCAACCAAGACCCTGAAATCACAACCTGAGCCAAAGGCAGACAGACGCTTAACTGAATGAGCCACCCAGGCATACCATCTTCAAAAATTTATTAAAGATCTTATTTGTCAAGCATTCAGGATACAGAGATAAAGGGTTTCAGTCTAAAGGGGGACATAGTCAAGTAAACAAGGCAGCTTAGCTTGCTGAGTGCTGACAGAAGTATGCAGAGTGCATGACTACAGGGCATGCTGGGGAGACACAGAACACAGGGCACATATGGGTGTGGTAAGGCAGCAAGGGCTAGGACTGAGGCAGGAAGAAAGGCCTTAGAGTCCTTGTGCCCTTCATATTTGAGTGGGGACTGGGATCAGCTATTCCTACTT